CCTGAAACCAAGGTGGGGAGTGCATTCCTTGCTCGCATTTTCGAGTATAAACAGTTACTTACTTGAGAAACTCAAATTTGGGGCCTATATCAAGAGTTCGAGTTTATTTGCACCTTTATGCCTACTCTTGCTTTTTTGAATAATGGCTTTTGAATTTAAGAAATATTGTTCCTAGGTTTTGATTTTGGGGATTTTGTAGAGGAATTTCAGAAGAATCTAGGCTTAGGGTCTCTAGCATAGGGTTTTTCCTAGATCTAGGATTTCTAGAACCTAAGAGAATATTCTACGGTCTTCTAGAAATTTTTCCTAATTTTCTGGGGGCTTTAGGATTTTTCCTATTTTTCTAAGTAGTTTTGGATGAATTTTTTAGTTATTTTCTAATGGGGATCAAGGGGGTTATATAGGCTTGGGTTCTAGGGATTTCTCCCTAATTCCTGGGATTTTATGCATTAAAACACGTCCAAGAACGACTTAGGTCACCCTAGAAGGTTCTATAAAATTATGGGATTTTCTTGACAAAAATACAACTGAAAATGTATGCGACTCACCCCATATTGTGCAAGACTAAACTATTATTTTTCAGATGTGGTTAGCATGCGCCAAGCCCGCACACGGACAAATGCAGGCTTAGCAATGAATATATTTTTTAAATATAATTTGATCCTAATTTTTAGAGCATATATAATTTTTAACATGGAGATCATGAATATGAATAAATAAATAAACTTTGAAAACTAAAAATAATAATTATATTAAAAAAAAGCATTTGGACCCTTAGTTAAATTGTTTTGAGATGGACTACCTATTTGCATCCATCTTTAAGATGGATGCTATATACCTCTAGACCTCATATTGTACAAATGCGATCCAACCCGCATGAAACAATTGTTCTTATTTTTCTGAATAATTTTGCCTAGGCCATAACATTCAAACTGTAAATTGAATTCTAACGATTCTTGGACCATTGAAAATCTTGTGACCTCCTCTATAATTTGGAACTAAATTAGGTGAAATTTGAGTGACCTTTGAGGGACCTATAAGGCTAGGACTTCAAAGTCTCTATTTTAGGTTTCTAGGCATTAGTTTGGTGTTTGGATTAGTTTTCTATGTTCATAAGGCTTGGGAGTGTCTAAGATGACTATTTGAGGGTATTAGGATATTTTTTGGGTGATTTTAAGAGAATTCTAATATATCTTGATTCATTATAGTTCACTATGCTAAATATGGTCCTTAAAACTCAGAACGAAGGCTTTTGAAAATCCTATTAACCAGAATTTCTTTAAGGGGGCGGAAGTTGTCTACAGGGGCCATGCCTAGAAAATACAAATCGGGGGGTATCTTTAATTTTCTTTTTTTATTTTTGATATCAATCACTAAGTTTAAAAGGTTACATCCCAAAATTCGGAGTCTTAAATATACGTCTAGAGAGAATTTTATTCGAGGGAATGGGTGGCCGACGTGAGGGCATATAATCAATCTTTTGGCTTTTTTGTGACATTCTCTTGGTTCCAACTGTCAAATTTGAAAACAAAAGGAGCACTGTGTTTTTCAAATTTGAGAGGAAACGTAAAGTTCCAAAATTTGAGAAAAATATCATATGAAAGAAACTTGCAAACCTACAACGACCAGAGAAAGATGGTTAGCCACCAACTCGCGAACATGTCGACAAACCAACGACCCCCTAATCTTTATTGGGTGTGGTTTGTATAGAGCCTAGGCCTTAAACGATCAAATTAGAGCCTAACTTCAAATAATATCAAGATATGTGGTTTCAATACTGAAAATTTTTGTAATAGCTTTAAAATATATTTTCATCTTTATTTATAAAGTTTAAAGCTTCAAAAATAGTGTAGATCGACATATCTATGAAAACTTAAAATCTTGAAAATTGACGGTCCAAAAATGTGTTACAAAATACTCTATTTCCAAAACTTGGTAGGGACTTGTCTTCCTCATTGAATTACTCAAAAAAAAAAAAAAAGGAAGAAAGAAGAAAAAAAGAAAGAAGAAGAAGTGTGCTTGCTTCCATATTGATAAAGTGGATCTACATACTTACCCCAGGTTTCTATAAGGTTGTAACCTTAAACAATCCGATTAAGGTGCACCTTAAAATTTTATCACAATATGTAATTTTGTTATAAAACATTCTTAGTATTATCTTAAAATCCATTTTCAGACTTAATTAAAAAATTTTAAATTCCCAAAATGGTAAAAATCAAGTAGATCTATAAACATATGAAAATATTGAAAATGGACGGCTTAGATAATGTGTTGCAAGATACACTATTTTTGAGATTCAAAAACTTTTTTTTTTTCATATTCATAGATGTAGATGTTGAGATGATTGATTAGATGCCTTTTTCAACATTAAAACAATATTTCCAATAGATTTTTGAGGTGCATGTACATTTTAAGGTTGCAACCTTATATAAACTTTTCCCAAAACAAAGTACGAACTGAAAAAAACGTGGACCTATATTTTTTATCCTCACAAGATTTAATGGAAACTTACATTTTGGCGTTGTTGCGATAGTAACGTCGATGATTTTTTATTGATATCACCGAATAGATATTTTCTCCTTTTAAATTTATTTAGTGCGGTGATTTCATGCAACTATTTTATAATAATATAATTAAAAATACCTTAAAAAACCCATGTCAAAAAAACTGGTTTGACCCAAAATTTTTAGCGTTCACTTAATTCACAATTATGAACAATATCAACAAAATAAAATTTGCAAACACATAAGCAAAATAGACAAGAAATTAACCTACTCCTTTTCGTAGGTTTAGTATACGCTTAGGGGGAGAAACATGGGTTTTGGGTGAGGGAGGTCAAGGGGTTGAACCCTTGGTTTTTCTTTAAACGACACCGATATGGTTGTTTTTCTTGTGAACAAAAAAAAAAAAAAAAAAAATCAAAAAACAAAAACAAAAACAAAACCCAAAACCAAAGCCAAAATGGATCAGATTTATCTCATACAAATTCTAATGGAGAATAGAATCTTGTGAGATTTATTATGCTCCTAGGGCATTTTGGATGTACTCTTTATCATGATCCACTATTTGAATAAAAATAAACTTATTGGTGGCTTTACATGTTTATTTAGTAAATTGGTGAAAATAAAGTGTTTTAACATAAATAATTCAAAATCTTAAAAATAATTAAATAATAAACTTGAATTATATATAATTTGAGGTACATACCAACAGGCAAACTAAAAAATATTGTTTAGAGTACATTGGCTTTAGACAAGATGGTCTCTAAAGTTAATTATCATGCATGGTTTTTAGGAGGGAAAAGTGTCGGAAAATAATTTTAAAAATAAAAAATTCGATTGAAAATGATAAAGAGAGAAAAATATATATGAAAATTTTTTTTTGTTATAAAGCTTGTAGATAACTAGAAAGATAGGCAATGGCTCTGAGATTTTTCTCAGTGTCCTGTAATGGGTGAATGAGCCCTGTTTTGTAAACATTAGAGCTTATATTCTTGCCACATATAGCAGGTTTTGCATCAAATAGTCTAGATTTATCTATCCTTATATCAATAGCAAAGCCTTTTTTTTTTTTTTATGTTTCTCTCTCTTACCCCAAAGAAAAATGACTCGTGTAATGTGATCGCTAGAATATCATTAATGGGTGATTAAGAAAAAGAAAGAAATAAAACGAAATTTACCATCAATGGTATCCAAAAGATTTGAATGCAATGAGGTCATTATAGCATGTATATAATATAATTAAATTAAATTCAATACATTTAAAAATAGAAGGTAAGAGAGAGACCACCAACACTATGGTGGTCATGAAGCCTTAGTAGTCATACTCCAACAAAGTGTTACGTGAATCAGCCAGCTCTTATTATTCATGTGCAAGCTTCCTATAAAATATATCTCAAATATGCATTTTTTATCTAACATTTTAGAGTTCAATAATCTCAACCATGTCAATGATTTAAATTTAAAGTTTTTCTGTGTCAAAAAATATGAAAGCTCTTTTTTGAATTCTTTTCTTCACTTTCCATTTTAACTTTTAGTGGATGTAACATAATTTTGTAGGTTTTATGAAAACAAAATAAAGCCTCACCTCTAATCCCCGTCCATAAAGTACTTTCCTAGGCTTTATAAAAACAAAATAAAGCCTCACCTCCAATCCTCGTCCATCAAGTACTTTCGGCGATGGAAATTTCTATGAAGGCTATAGAATCAATTTCCAACACCGACAAAAAATTTTAAAACTCAAAAAATAGTACAGATCTTGCAGACTTGTAAATACTTATCTTGAAGGCAAAATGAACAATCTAGATAATTTGTTATAATATACATTATTTTTAGAGCTTGAAATCTGTTTTCACAACCTTAATGTTCAAGTCGATTTTTCCAATGCTTGACTTATAATTCCCAATGAGTTATGAGGTGAGGATTTACTATAGGGTTGCCGCCCTATCAAATTGTTTTGTATGTAGAAATGAGTTCACTCTTAAGAGTCTATTATTGAGATGGATTTTAGGAAAAAGTTTATATAGAAGGCTCTAAACAATCAAATTAGACCCCACCTCAAAAATTCCACTAGAAGGGGTTGTTTTGATGCTCAAATATCCTCAAATTGATCATCTTAGACATTAAGATGCATGAACATGAGAAAAAATGGATTTCAAGTTTTGAAAATAGTGCATCTTGTAATGTAATTTTGGACCGCCAATTTTCAAGATTTTCAAATTTTCATAGATTTACTCAATCTACAATATTTTTAAAGCTTTAAATTTTATAATTAAAGATAAAAATATATTTTAAGGCTATCACAAAGATTTTCAATATTGAAACCACATTTCTCGACACTATGTGAATGCGCACTTTACTTTGAGTATTTAGAGCTCTATACAAACCGCACACTTAATTTTATTTTATTTTATTTAAAAGACCACGTATGTCCTCCGTGCGATCTCGGCCGAAATATTGTCCGAAAAAAAGCTTCCTTTTTTTAATTCCAGTATATTTTCACTCCGCTCCGCTAAAATCCACTCCGAAATTTCAAGAAAAGAAAGTACGCTGACGTTCTCCGATTTTTCAAATAGACTCGGCAATTGTGAAAAGGACGACTTTTTAGTTTCATCTCATTTGATTAGAACCAGTCTTAGAATCCCCAGATCTGCTTCAGTTGAAAGCGACACTCGCCAAGCTCTATTGAGGCTACAAAAACTATCAGGGTTTAAACCCTAAAGTCATAATCTTTTTCTGCTCAAAATTTCAAAAAATGGCGGCTGTTAATCGAAAGATTTCAGCTGCCTCTGCTAGGTCTCACACCAGGAAAGCGAGGCAATCAAGTGGCTTTCGATTACCTTCAGGTTAATTCCACTTTTTTTGCCCTTACTTTCCGTTTAATGGAAAATTAACTGCTAAAAAAGATTTTCTCCTCTGCTGATAGTTATTGTAAATGGTTTTGAAGAATTGGGTTTTTGTTTCTCTTGTTTTCTTTCCATTTATGGATTGGTTCTGGATGGTTTTCATGTAAATTTTTTATTTTTTGGAAAAAGTATGAATATGGGGATTAGTCTTGGTTCTTTGTGCTTATGTTTGAGCTGCAAATCTTTTGCATTTTTTTGGTGATGGGTATTGATGCAAGAGTATTATTTGTTCTCAGGATTGTTTAGAAAAATAGGACTGGTTCTTTTTGTGGGTTTTGTGGCTTGGGCATATCAGGCTAGCCAGCCTCCACCCCATTTGATCTATGGTTCTACAAATGGTCCTCCTGTTACTGCAACTAGAATCAAACTAAGTGATGGGAGGTACTTAGCTTACAAAGAGAGTGGTGTGCCTAGAGAGAAGGCCAAGTATAAGTTTGTTATGGTTCATGGCTTTGATGGTTCAAGAAATATTCAATTGCCCGCTTCGCCGGTGAGAAGAATCTCTCTCTCTCT